AACCAAATTCTCAAAAACGGCATGTTTAGCAATAATACAGATAAACATTTTAGTCAAAGAGCAAATAAATATAACTACGTCATTCTACGATGAAATCTCTAAGTATTCCCAGTCAATTTTAGCAAATATTTCAAGTACTGAACAGTGAAAAATGCATAGCAAATTTCGTTAAAATTGGCGACGCCAAATTTCGTAACCACAAATGTAAAAAAATACAAAACAAAGACGAAAAACATTTACCTTGAATACTTTGTCGTGGCTTATAGGCATGTTTTTAAAACAATTAGACCAGTTTATGCTTCAATAATTAAAGCGGAAAATATAGCGAAACAACAAAAATGCTGAGAATTTTGGCAATGCGCGTGACGTCGCGTGACGCGCCCGTATTTCGCGCAAAAATTATTTCAATTGAATTTCAAACGTAAATATCTCGAAAAGTTCTCATATTATCAATATATAGTTATAAGGGATTATATTTTCTAATTTAAAGCGACTCAATCGTGCGGAAACTGATTGTTCTTTAAGCAACTTTTTGCATATTCAGAAATAATGATTTGAACGGTTGAATACTTTGATATGCATTTTCTCTGCTACATTTTGTCGTTCATCTGCAATTTAATTCGATGTATAGAACATGTCATTTCAATACGAAGTCCAGAATCTGAATTGACAAACGCTCGCTACGAAATTTGAAGTTTCCTTTAATTAAAGGACATTGGCAGTAAAAAAATTAGTTTAGTTCGTTTGAAAGAACTATTGAAACTCTATATTAAACTCCGTTACATATTGTTTATATCTTGCTTAGTTTTCAAAATATTTCGACTGAAAAAAGTGAGCTGTTCGCCATCTTGGATTATTGAGGATATGCATGTTACGTCAAGAGAGGAGTCACGCTAATTTTTTTATCTTGAGAGTAAGCGATCAATATGGGTTCAAAACTTCGTTTCTGGTTGCTGTCTGAAATTTCGAAATGATCAAAAACACTTCAAACAATTTAGAATTGTTACTCGGTCATTTTAGAGTAGTTTTATATGGTTAAACCCAACTCCTGACGTCATCAAAACCATAGTTAATGAGGTCAATTAGAATTAGTCCAAGATGGCGACAGCTGATTAATTTCGGTCTAAACATTTCGAGAACTAAGCAAGATATGACAAATCGGTAATATAGTTTAATATGTAATCTTTTGAATGAGAGAAAGTAATTTTTTTTTAATTGCCAATGTCCTTTAAGAATAGACAATGTTTAATATTCTACCTTCGATAATTCTTCCATATAGATTCAAACGGCGCTATTTACCATTATTGAAAAATTAACATACTTATTCGAAGCTCGCGTCATTACCATTCTTGATCGTGCAGAATTCATCAATATGCAATTACGAAGTGTTACGGTTTGTGTCTGAACTACCCTCGTATAAAAACGCACAAGTTGTTAGAGATCTACAAACAAATTGTAAGCAAGGTTGTTGTGAAGCCGATATCAGGATGTGTTCGCACTGCTTGTTCCCAGTTGTTGTGACAAGTCTGGAACAAGTTGTTATCATCTTGTAACAAGGTTGACGAGACCAACAGACTCGCAACAAGTTGTTCCAACAAGTCTGATATCGTCTGCACGTAACAAGTTGTTAACAAGTTGATGACAACAAGCTCGTGGCAACTTGTTACGAACAGCCTGTATTAGTCTTGTTGGAATAACTTGTAGCAAGTCTGTTACCGCCATCAACCTTGTAACAAGATGATAACAACTTGTTCCAGACTTGTCACAACAACTGGGAACAAGCAGTGCGAACACATCCTGATATCGGCTTCACAACAACCTTGCTGCAACTTGTTTGCAGATCAGAACTTGCGCGTTTTTCCGTATGTAGTCCAGACACAAACCACGGCGGACCTTTACAAATACAAAGTGTTCGTTTGTGTGTTTCCAATGATAATAGAGTGTTTAGAAACTGTAAATTTTTGTACGCAAAAGAATTGCCTAAATCTATATAGTATTTTTAAAGCGACTATTTGCACGAGTTATTAAAATTTGTATTTATATGAATTATGAAAAAAGTATAGAGTGAATTTTGTGCTAAAATTAAATATTTCAGATTATATATGCTTTGTGCATACAGTTTAAACTAAATTAACATTATTTATCATGGATAGCTCTATCAGTTCTAAACTGTAGATGGTCCAGTAAGGATCATCTCTTATTGGTCCATCTTACTACAGGAAGAAACCTATAGGTCAAAATGGTCCGTCCCAATCAGGTGCGATACAGCTTTCGTATGGCAAATTTTATGCCCTTGACCAAGATTCCATCTAGCGCAAGGCGAGATCTAGCCTAGCTAGGCTGGCTAACGTGAACAAAAATAGAATTTTATATCCGTTAACAAGCCCTTGATATCTTCGCTCTACAAAATGTCAATATTTTTGAAGTTGACAATTTTGAAGTTGAATCTGCTGTCTTTTAACGCTTCGTGAACATGGCAATTAAACTTTGCCCAATTTGTTCCAAAGTGAGTCGGGTGCTGTGTTCATTAGTTCCGTGAAATCGATATAACCGTCGCTATTGAGGTCGTGTTCATCTAGTAAGTTGTCTATAAGAGACTCTACTTCTTCTTCGAGTAACTCCCGGCCATCTTGTTCCGTGTTTATTTTGTCGTGATGGTCTGTCAGGGCTACAAAGAGTTCCAGACCATCTAGCTTTTTGTTCTTGTCGAAGTCGTGGAGTTCAAAGAAGTAAAATATTCCTAGAAAGCGATACCGTTGCTTAGATTGGTACATTGAAGCCGGAAGGGTTATTCCTTATTGATCCAGTGTTACTCCAGGAGGAAACCTGAACTAAACTAACTTTATTTATACTGGATAGCTCTATCAGTTCTACTCTGTTCTTCCTAGAGGTCCAGTAAGGATCATCTCTTATTGATCCAGTGTTACTACAGGAGGAAACCTAAACTAAACTAACTTTATTTATACTGGATAGCTCTATCAGTTCTAAACTGTTCTCCCTAGAGGTCTAGTAAGCATCATCTCTTATTGATCCAGTGTTACTACAGGAGGAAACCTAACTAAACTAACTTTATTTATACTGGGTAGCTCTATCAGTTCTAAACTGTTCTTCCTAGAGGTCCAGTAAGGATCATCTCTTATTGATCCAGTGTTAGTACTGTTACTACAGGGGGAAACCTAAACTAAACTAACTTTATTTCTACTGGATAGCTCTATCAGTTCTAAACTGTTCTTCCTAGAGGTCCAGTAAGGATCATCTCTTATTGATCCAGTGTTACTACAGGAGGAAACCTAAACTAAACTAACTTTATTTATACTCGATAGCTCTATCAGTTCTAAAATGTTCTTCCTAGAGGTCCAGTAAAGATCATCTCTTATTGATCCAGTGTTACCATAGGAGGAAACCTAAACTAAACTAACTTTATTTATACTGGATAGCTCTATCAGTTCTAAACTGTTCTTCCTAGAGGTCCAGTAAGGATCATCTCTTATTGATCCAGTGTGAGTACTATTACTACAGGGGGAAACCTAAACTAAACAAACTTTATTTATACTGGATAGCTTTAAACTGTTTTCCCTAGAGGTCCAGGCTATAAGACAGACCTTTCGTGTCATCACCATTTTTTATGGCTTGTATGTCTTCTGCAAACTGTCCATCTTTGGGGAACTCTTCTTCATTATTAAGATGTTCTTGAATATGTCTGAAGAAACACAAGATGTAATATATGAACAACGAGAGCTCGTGTCTCACCAGGATATCCAAACACTCGAAAACAATGTATGAGAACACGAGCGCGAAGCGCGAGTGTTTTCATACATTGTTTTCGAGTGTTTGGATATCCCGGTGAGACACGAGCTCGAGTTGTTTATATGGCTTCTCAAATGAATCGAGACGTGACAGAATGTTTTCGTTTGCTGATCTGAATAGAATTCTTAACCAAGCATAACGTAATTAGGAATTCTATTCAAGTAATTTTGCATGCGTAATTAAGATATTTGATGAAAACACTAGTGACTTTCATCAAGTATCCAAATGGCATCTTGTGATTAAATAGGTGATTATCATTGGCTGAATTACTCATGAATTATTAATGAATTTGAGAATGTTTTTTCTTCCATACAAATAGCAAGCATGCATGAACGTAATAATGCGACTATTTATGAATTATTCAGAGCTTGTCTTCAAAATCCTTGTCAAGTTTGACACAAGTTGTTATCATATTGTAACAAGGTTGATGAGGCCAACAGACTCGCAACAAGTTGTTCCAACAAGTCTGATATCGTCTGCACGTAACAAGTTGTTAACAAGTTGACGACAACAAGCTCGTGGCAACTTGTTACGAACAGCCTGTATTAGTCTTGTCGGAACAACTTGTAGCAGGTCTGTTACCGTCATCAACCTTGTAACAAGATGATAACAACTTGTTCCAGACTTGTTACAACAACTGGGAACAAGCAGTGCGAACACATCCTGATATCGGCTTGACAACAACATTGTTACAACTTGTTACCTGCTATGACCACGATCACGTGGAAAAATCCTGATCGTCTTATCAAAACTCCCGGATACAAATTCCTCGCCAGTTGGTGAATAATCTACATCAAGTACAGCGCCAACATGATCTTGATGTACGCTGACCGCAAAGTCTAGTCGACGCATGTCATACGTGTAGAGATTTGAGTCCTCGTTGGCCACGGTAAAGTTGAATGCCTCCAATGGATTCCAGGCCACTGTATTGCTGCGCATTTTCATCAGGAGTTTACGAAGCGGGGTCGCCCCACGAGTGTCGTACAAAACCACGCTTCGGTCTGATGCCGTACTTGCTAGCAGATTTGTCTAGAACAAACAACACACAGACAGTCTCTTTCTACTGTTTTGTCTGCCTGATTAGCATCTTCCTTCTTCCCGGAAGGAGAATTGTACTACTACTGTTCACACGTAAAAATCTCACAACTTGTCAACAAAACGTATTCGCAACAGGCTTGTAGCAAGCTTGTCAACAAGTTGTAACAATGCTATTATTATATTTATTCGCAACAGGCTTGTAGCAAGCTTGTCAACAAGTTGTAACAATGCTGTTATTATATTTGTTCGCAACAGGCTTGTAGCAAGCTTGTCAACAAGTTGTAACAATGCTATTATTATATTTATTCGCAACAGGCTTGTAGCAAGCTTGTCAACAAGTTGTAACAATGCTGTTATTATATTTGTTCGCAACAGGCTTGTAGCAAGCTTGTCAACAAGTTGTAACAATGCTGTTATTATATTTGTTCACAACAGGCTTGTAGCAAGCTTGTCAACAAGTTGTAACAATGCTGTTATTATATTTGTTCACAACAGGCTTGTAGCAAGCTTGTCAACAAGTTGTAACAATGCTGTTGTTATATTTGTTCGTAACAGGCTTGTAGCAAGCTTGTCAACAAGTTGTAACAATGCTGTTATTATATTTGTTCGTAACAGGCTTGTAGCAAGCTTGTCAACAAGTTGTAACAATGCTGTTATTATATTTGTTCGTAACAGGCTTGTAGCAAGCTTGTCAACAAGTTGTAACAATGCTGTTATTACATTTGTTCACAACAGGCTTGTAGCAAGCTTGTCAACAAGTTGTAACAATGCTGTTATTATATCTGTTCACAACAGGCTTGTAGCAAGCTTGTCAACAAGTTGTAACAATGCTGTTATTATATTTGTTCGTAACAGGCTTGTAGCAAGCTTGTCAACAAGTTGTAACAATGCTGTTATTATATTTGTTCGTAACAGGCTTGTAGCAAGCTTGTCAACAAGTTGTAACAATGCTGTTATTATATTTGTTTACAACAGGCTTTTAGCAAAGTTGTCAACAAGTTGTAACAATGCTGTTATTATATTTGTTCGGAACAGGCTTGTAGCAAAGTAGTCAACAAGTTGTAACAATGCTGTTATTATATTTGTTCGCAACAGGCTTGTAGCAAAGTAGTCAACAAGTTGTAACAATGCTGTTATTATATTTGTTCACAACAGGCTTGTAGCAAGCTTGTCAACAAGTTGTAACAATGCTGTTATTATATTTGTTCACAACAGGCTTGTAGCAAGCTTGTCAACAAGTTGTAACAATGCTGTTGTTATATTTGTTCGTAACAGGCTTGTAGCAAGCTTGTCAACAAGTTGTAACAATGCTATTATATTTGTTCGTAACAGACTTGTAGCAAGCTTGTCAACAAGTTGTAGCAATGCTATTATTATATTTGTTCACAACAGACTTGTAGCAAGCTTGTCAACAAGTTGTAACAATGCTGTTATTTTATCATTTAAAAACAAAGTTTTTGCATTTGAAAAGGGAGTTTTGGCATTTGAAAACTGAGTTCTGGCATTTGAAAAGGTAGTTCTGTCATTTGAAAACGGAGTTTTAGCATTTGAAAACGGAGTTTTAGTATTTGAAAACGAAGTTATGGTATTTGAAAAGGGAGTTCTGGCATTTGAAAAGGGAGTTCTGGCATTTGAAAACAGAGTTTTGGCATTTGAAAACAGAGTTTTGGCATTTGAAAACGGAGTTCTGGCATTTGAAAAGGGACTTGGCGTGGCTTTTGAAAAGGGAGTTCTGGCATTTGAAAACGGAGGTCTGGCATTTGAAAACGGAGGTCTGGCATTTGAAAACGGAGTTTTAGCATTTGAAAACGGAGTTCTGGCTTTTGAAAACGGAGTTCTGGCATTTGAAAACGAAGTTTTCGCATTTGAAAAGGGAGTTCTGCATTTGAAAACGGAGTTCTGGCATTTAAAAAACGGAGTTTTCGGATTTGAAAACGAAGTTTTCGCATTTGAAAATTAAGGTAGTTCTGGCATTTGAAAACGGCGTTCTGGCATTTGAAAATGGAGTTTTGGCATTTGAAAATGGAGTTTTCACATTTGAAAAGGGAGTCTTTGCATTTGAAAAGGGAGTTCTGGCATTTGAAAAGGGAGTTCTAGCATTTGAAAAGGGAGTTTTGTTGGTGAGTTTTCGTTAATTACCTCAACAGGGTTAAATTTAACGCTATGGACAGTATCCACACCCCACTGGAAAGATCTGACCGGCTCCGATCTGTCTTCGTTCCAGATATCCACTTGGTCCCCACACGTTGCATAAACACTGTCCCGCCAGTGATGATCAATACCTTGAAACATTGTCTAGGAGTAATAAATGAGTGATAATAACATATAATAATAATGAAATAAATACCAGTTTCTATTGTAACTTAGTTGATGTTTCTTTCAAGTTTTGAAGCTAACTCATGAGTTGACCCATTAAATTAAGAGACAGTACTCTCCTCTTGTCAAGTAAAATTGTCTGGCATTAGACAGAGTCAAATAATAAAGGAGGGTGCATCAGGGCACATTGCCACTGAAAAGGTTAAGTTCATCTACTGGTAGTTTATCTTCTCTTTGTCTACCCCATACTGTATATCATAATTCTGCACAATGACTCAGAAACGCAACTAACTTTGCCCACAATAGTATGAACTAAATGAGTTGATTTCTTTGCATCATCATCTTGTTTCCATCTCCAATGTTTAATCAACTTGTCATCACCAACCTAGAATAAAAATAATGAGCAAATTGATACAATTCAAACTGAGCTCTAAATTGTGTTCTCTTAGTCCTGAAATCATGTTAATTATCTCCACATTTATTAATAAATACTCACTGAAATAAAGATTTCTCCAGTTGGGACAACAGCCAGACCTCGTACAAATCCACTATGGGCAGAATAAGATCTAATACACTCCTTCCTGGAAAGATTCCATAATTTCACCTGAACAAGAAGAAAACAGTTGATACAATGTAAATCAGGTCTTGCTAACATTGCCTTTAGGCTTGTTTCACAAAAAAAGGGAGGGAAGTCACCAAGAATATGTGATAAGGTAAGGAAGACAGAACTACAGAATAGAGCCCAACGAAAGCTTGACTCCCTTCCCCTCGAAGGAAGCCAAAAAAGCATAACATTGCCACAGAATAAGAAGGTACACCAGAAGTCTCACTCAAGCAAGCATTTGTCTGCATTTTTACAAGCGATTCGTCATCAATCACGCCATCCTGGCTAGTACAACCGGCACTTTGTACCTACCAAAATCTGATAAAAACTTCTGGCTGTACTAGCCAGGATGGCATGAGCGAGTTAAACTTTTCGTGGACGTAAACACCGACTCAAGTTACACTTCTGCTGTACTTTCCTATTTTGTGACATTGCGAAGCATGCCATGCCATGATTCGCAATAATTTGTCATCAAAATGCTGGCGCCATGGTTATAACCAGTGCAGTTATGAGAGGCATTCATCCCCTGAAGTCCACCATGTTTTAATCTCTTAAGAGGGCCGAATGAATGCCGCTCATATTAAAGCACACTGGCTAGGCCCATCGCAACAGCATTGCAATGGTTAAGCAAAATCAAGAAGTCGACCTTCTGTAAGGTTCCTATTCTGTGACGGAACTGGACAAATTCTTACAGGTTTTGCAAAAATACTATTAAATGCAAGAACAATAGTCAACAGAAGTATAGAACAAGGCACTCGGGTCCTACCTCGCCATTACAGGAACCGCTCAACAGCAACGACAAGCTTTTCTGAAACTTGGCCATGCAGTTAACGCCATCAGTATGTCCATCAAGAGATCCGACAAACGGTTTGGCAAAAACCCGCTCGAGTTTAGCAGCATTTAGAGCCCTCGTATATTCACGTGCTGCCTCAAACGGATGCAAACTCGGGTCGATATTTCGCGGGATTTTATGTATATCAGACTTACATTCGCGTATATAGTCTGCCGGGTTACGTGAGAGCACTTTCACTTTCATTTTAGAGCAAAAAACCGCTTGATTCACGATGAAAATTACAGTTAAATATTGTTACAAACTCCAAAAGCAAAAAGTTTGACCGCCATCTTGCGTACTTGCAGGCAAGACGAAGGATCGGCGAGTTTTTATGCGGATGGCGGTCGGCGTCGAATCGGGTTATCTCCATGACAACGTCAACAGCCATAATGTAAATATTTTTTTTATTTCAGAGATTTATTTTTCTTTTCTTTTATAAAATGTGAAATACTGATCGATTGAAGAAGTTAGAATGTCCAATGTCAAGGTATGGATGTAAATTATTTGATTATATTTAAAGCAATATATATTTTGAAGGTGAACGCGGTAAATTTCACGTTTTTTGGCGTTCGTGATTTGTTTACATTTCGTCTTTGTGTCTACTAGTTGCCAGAGATCGACTCTACTGAGGGCTTTCAAGCGCGGAATTGGAAACAACTTAATAAGAAAGAAATCCAGAAATTAGATCCTGTTCAAAGAAGTCGTTATATGGCTGTGAGTATCATAAATTGACATTGATCAGGTCATATACTTATATTCTGGTTTGTATTTGCAAGATTGAATATAAAGCCCCCATCATTGATAATCATCTTTCTCCAAAAATCCCCCTTTCCAAACAGGCCCCCTCTCGAATAGCCCTCTCTAGATATATCAAGCCCCCCTCTAATAAGCCCCTTTCCCCAAAAGCCCCCCTCTCAAAAACCCCTAGAGCTCTAAATGCCAAGCTCTCCTCTCTGATAAACCCCCTTCCCCAAAAAAGCCCCCCTCTCAAAACCCCCTCTCTAGATATCCAGCCTTTTTCTCTAATAAACGTACTCCTTTCCCCAAAAAGCCTCCTCTAAAAACCCTCTCCAGATATTCAGCCCTCCTCTCTAATATACCCACTTCCCCAGAAAGCCTCCCTCTCAGAAAACCCTCTCTAGATATCAAACCTTCCTCTCTAATAAACCCCTTCCCCAAAAAGCTCCTCTCTAAGAAAACCCTCTCTAGATATCAAACCCTCCTCTCTAATAAGCATCTCTCCCAAAAACCCTTTCTTACTCTATTAAGCACACCCCTCTCTAATATAAACCCCCTCTCCAAAAGCTCCCTCTCCATTAAGTCCCCTCTCTCCAATAACCCCTCCCCCTTCCCCATCAATTGTGGCTAAAATATGATGTCACCGTTTTTAACTTCAGTATGAAAGCTCGTCAAAACAAGCTGCGCAAGGCATGTGTGAAGCACGGAGGAGAATTCACGAAAGAAGAAAAAGCGAAACGTAAGTGAAACAGTCAATGAAATCGGTAACATAAAGACATCATGCTAATATGTACTTTATAAATACAGAAAACATGCAATGGAATCAGATACAACGGACCCTCAGAAAGAAAAGCACGCAAGACTTATTGGACAACTAAAGTAAGTCTGTGAACCAATTTCTATCAGATGTATTCTTGGTGATCAGGATTTGAAAATCCCACCAGTCTCCAGCTACCAATGTTTAATATCTAACCACTTTCTTTCATTTTAGAGCGGCAGAAGCAAGAAACAGAATCAGACTAATGAGAATTCGTTACACTGGCAACAAGGTAACAACTCTTCAATATATACTGTACCGGTATGCCTTGTATCAATGACGAAGCTAACTTTCAAACACTCAAAAATCATGTTCATTTACAGTACATAAACTTTAGCTTTGATTTTCTCGGTCCGTGTTTTAGTTCAAAAACTCAATGCTAAAATTATTTTCGTACAGGCATCAGAGATGAACAATTTGATAGCATGTCAGCCCACAGCTATCAAGGCGGTCAGACTACAGTGTCTTGTTCCACCGCATCCTGAAAAGATTGTTATAAGAGATCTGTTAGGCAAAGACGAGGTGTGTTTCACTTTATTCTTTTAGAGAGAACAGTTTAGAACTGATATAGAGCTATCCAGATTGTTTAGTTTGCATTAAGGATTTTACTCTCACCGCTTAAGAAATTACAGGAATATCAGATTGATATAGTTGCAAGAAATCATTGCATTGTTTTATTGTTCACGTCTTTCTTTTTCCATTTTCTCAGCGTTCACGTGTCGACGTACTACTAGAAGATGAACTTAATCTAACAACAAATCGATTGCTTTCATAACACAGCGTTCTGGTACAACAACCTCAGTTCCTGAGCTGTGCGAGATTTTGACGTAATCTGCAGACGTGTTATTCAACTCAGTCAAGTCTTCACATTTCGCTAAGCTTCATGCGAAGCCTATCAAAAAGAATATCAAGTGATGAACGAAGATATTTGATCAATAACTGTCAACACCTCTTCTAAAATAATACCTGGTGTACATTAATCCTTATCAATCTATATTGGGTGAAACATTTCTGTACATTTTTGTACGTTAATCGTTATTGAGAATGCCCTACGAATTAAAGATAAATATTAAAAGTATACTTTCATACACATGTTATTTAAATTATATTTTTAATAAATCTTATTTAAACATCAATACTAACTTGTATTTTTCTTGAGACAAAACAACAACAACTATATATCGCAACAACAACAACAACAACAACAACAACAACAACAACAACACTAATTTAAAATTAGCACCATAAAGAAAATTACGACTCCTTGGCAATTAAAGAGGAATTTCAGGTTTGGGGTTAGCCAGGATCCCTGTACTATATCAAATCCGCGCGGATAGTCGTCTTTCGCCTTGTGTAACAATTTGAAAGCCGTAGAGCAGAGTCCGACATTGAGTAGAATTAAGATGCAGAGGAAACGCATTTTATATTACATGTCCTCGAGGAAGACGAGTTAATAGCGGAAGTGTCTGAGAATAAACTTTTCTTTTTAAAAAACGCACCAAAATATTTATTTTTATACGCAATTATACCACTTACCAGACACAGTGACAAATGCATGAGGAGATTATTGGAGCATTCAATTTCAAAACAAGCAGCATAAAATAAGCATAAGCCGGAAAACCAGGAAACATGTATTTATGACAAATTGCGACGTTCCTTGAAATATCTCCCCGTTTTCCAATCCTTGGAAACATTTAGAAGTAAAAAATGTATAAAATATATTTTCGTTCACAAGTGGCAAATGTAATTTTTTTTCCGGAAAGAATGTTTTCTGTGCACTTTTGCAATGTTTGGACCGTTGGAAATGATTTTTTTTACAATTCAACATATTTAAAAGTCTTTTTCAAAATGCAGCCTGCTTTGCAAATTTGATACAGGTTTTGGCGGGAAGTGTGTTGTGTCATAAATTTGCGCCGTTTACTACTTTGTATACAATTAAAATGTACAGTATTTCATTGTGGAGTTGAAATATTTTTAAGGTAAAATAAATATGTTAAAGCTTAGGGCCATTGAAGTTTACAGTACTAGTTTAATATATTTGTTTGGTATAACAACATCTAACTGAATTGGAGACGAAATTAACTTTGTCTGACCCTTAATATTTTGGCATGCGATACCAGTAGCAGATGAAAACAAACTAGTTTCAAATGGGACTACTTATTTATATCATCAAAATGCAAACAAACGGGTGCTTTCTTAACGTTTGACTAAAGACAATGAAAACAATCGGACGAAAATTTTTCTTTTTCAAATTTCCATAAAATTATAAGGTATATATATATATTTCATTTGTTTATTTTTTCATTCCAGCTATGTATTTTAACTTCTTTCTTAATAATATTGAGTGTCATGATCGTTTACTATTTAATCATTATTTTAAAGTATGTGCTGTCTTTTACATGTATATATAAATATATTGTTCTTCGCAGATTTTGGAGAGGACATTTATTGTTGTGAGTACAAAGGCAAGGCAATCTAGTAAAGAACGAAATGAAGAAACTTCGTATGTTTTATTGGTTCCTCTTTGTGGCATTAAACCAAGGTAAAATATTTAATTCAGTTGTTTTTGAAATGGTTTGGTGAACTGTTGGGTTTTAAATTGCAAATGATAAACAATGGGGGCATTGTTCGACAGGCCATGAAACATGATCTCTGTATGAACGCGACGCGATTTTTTCAGTTCGAAACTGAAAGTCAATAAACGCGTTGTTTCCAATCAAAGCACTTACTAATTTGTAACATTTTTGTTCCATTGTAGTTTCTATTGTATTTTCCGCTCAAGCAGCAAAACGCCAGTTTTCTGCCATACAAGGTGGGTTCCATACTACTATGAAATCTCTTAGCATTAAAAATGCCGTGCAATATAAAACAATGAAAAGACAATGGAACTTTCCGATCACTGGATCATGACTGGATGGCATGGAAAACAGTGGGATTTTCAAAACAATGAAAAGACAATGGAACTTTGCGATCACTAGATCATTCATCACTGGATGGCATATCATGACTGGGATTTTCAAAACAATCAAAAGACAATGGAACATTCTAATCACTGGATCATGACTGGATGGCATGGAGAACAGTGGGATTTTCAAAACAATGGAAAGACAATGGAACTTTCCGATCACTGGATCATGGCTGGATGACATGGAGAACAGTGGATTTTCAAAACAACAAAAAGACAATGGAGCATTCTGATCACCGGATCATGACTGGATGACATGGAGAACAGTGGGATTTTCAAAACAATGGAAAGACAATGGAACATTTTGATCACTGGATCATGACTGGATGGCAAGGAGAACCATGGGATTTTCAAACCAGAAACCCTAACTAAAGTTCATTTTTCTTTCAGCTCTTGCAGGACAGCTGGGTAGCTTTCCGTACACAGGGGTCGGATGTTTTCGGGATGCGATCGCGAAGCCGAGGCCGTTTCCGGAGATGCTCGGAAACCTTCGTAACCAGATTGACCTGACCAACCCTAACTCCACAATCGCAAAATGTGCTGCAAAAGCATACATAGGTCAATTCCAGTACTTTGGTATCGAGTATGTGGCCGAGTGTTGGAGTGGAGCTGGTGGGAATCTGACGTACAATAAATACGGTCCATCCTCACAATGTGTCAACGGTCTCGGAGGAGACGAGAGTCTGTATGTTTACAAGTTTAACAATCCACGTAAGTCGAATCTGGTTTTAAATTTCTATTATTCTCAGCGTAGCCCCCATAGGCACTCTATAATCGAGACAGATGAACCATGAAGATACATCCTCTGACGCGAAAGGGAGTTGATGATATAGTTCCAATTATTTTTCACCCTGCTCGGTTTCCTTTGTTCTTACCGGTGAATATATTCGTTTAATAATCCCCTCTAATATTCACCTGCGATGTTTTGCAGCACAAAAAAAATGAGAAAAAAAAACATAACGAAGGCAATATGGCATTAAGAATTATTTCTATTCTGACTCATTAACGCGACCTCCCAATGTGAAAAATAAGTACGTTATTTTGAGGCACCTCGGGGATATATCCCCTCACATATCCCCTCGTTGCCTCAAAATAACCTATACTTCTCTCTAGTTCTCGTCAACTTTGAGCTGGTTGAAATTCTCATGAGAGATGATGACAGGTTTTGCTCGTTCGACTTGTCTGGTAATATTTAATCAACTCTCGTAAACTCTTGTTCTTGTTTGAGAAAACTTTCACGCCAACTCTAGCTTGCATTTGAACATCAACTCATGCACCCTCTCATCAACTTTTGAGCTCAGGTTCAAATTTTCATGAGAGTTGATGAGAGTCCTCCCTATGCGATATGATATTTCTGATATTTCATATTTCTATTGCGCGAGTTTTCATATGTATAGGATCAAGTGCGCATTACAATCACAGCCGGAACTGGCGTGAAGCAGACCGAGGTAGACTGTGAGCTTACAGATGGCGCTTTAAGCAGCCGCTATTAGGCCATACCTCATTAATGATCTGCCCCTAACCTATGTGCCTAACCCACTCTGTCAACTTTCCTGTGGGAGGAGACCGGAGTAACCGGCAGAAACCCACGACTTTCGGCAGAGCGTTGACTTTTACTCTTTCCACACGAGGACTGGGTTTGAATTGAATTGAATTTATTAATTGACATTCCCTAAAATGGATTTTCAATGACAATTTACATGGATTTTAGAAGGAATTATGAGTTATCGACTATATATATTTACAACAATCTTATCAAAGTTATTACGCGAACTAAAATTATACTATATATTATGGTTTATCTGTTAAAAAAGTTAAAAAGGAGGACATCGCTCCTCAATACGAATTGTCTTAAGTTTCGTCTTAAAATTGTTCAAATCACTAATTGATTTCAGCTCTGTATCTAGACCATTTCATATCTTAGTCCCTCGGTATTTGAACGATCTTTGACCGATCGATTTGAACGATCTTTGACCGATCGATGTCCTATTTTGGAATATCCATGCAGGTCTTCGAGTCACATTGAGAAATTCTCACTGAGATTTGAACCTGTGACCTTAGGCTTAGAGGTAAAAGGCAAGTGCGCTAACCACTTCGCCACCAAAGCCCCTCACAATATACCATAAAGGGATTCTTGTTCTCTTTTGACCAATGTTTTATTCAATCACACGATAATTTCAATTCAAATCCTTGATTTACAGCCAAACCGCTACCAAATCCTGCAAGTCTAGGCTGTTTTCCAGCGCAAACAACGGTCGAACTTAAGAATGGCCGACAGATAACGATGGCCGAGCTACAACTTGGCCAAGAGGTTAAAACACTAGATCCAAACGGCGGCGTCAAATTTTCTGAAGTTATTGCGTTCCTACATAAACTTCCAACTGGGTCGTACACATTTCTTCGATTTATGCTTGAAGGAGGGTTAGAGGTTACCCTAACCCCGGAACATTTGATTTATGCCTCGCCTCGAAAAGCCTTGGTTCGTCAAGCTGTGTTTGCAAGGGATGTAAAAGTTGGTGATAAATTTGTTACATCTGGTGGGATTATGAAGTCAGTTCTAAAAATAACCACAGTCAGTGACGTCGGTTTATATGCTCCACTAACCATCGATGGCAATCTGTTCACGGATGGTGTCCTAGCCTCGTGTTATGCGCATGTGCGAAGCCACGAGTTGGGTCACCTAATGATGGTTCCTGTCCGAGCCTTGGGGCAGGCTTTGCGTATAATTGGAGAAATATCATTCACTGTGCCTTCATTGGACAATATACCGAGTGCAAACGCCTGGGACACTGCTGTAAACTATTACACTCGCACGCTATTGGCATTTACTAATTATCTGCCATTTAAAGACTCAATTATAAGCGTCCAGCCTGGAATGTAGCGTATTTGTAAAAGCTTAGCAGGACTTTTTTATGTGCTATATGGAAACATGTTACTGTTAGGGCTAGTTTATAGGGTCTTAATGAACATGGGACTAAATTGGAGCACCGTGATTGGAGGGCGTCAGTTGTGAGCTAAAATTGAGGCCAATTGTCAGCTGTGGTTTCAGTAACAGGCCGGAATGGTATGGCCAAGTTAGTAAATTGTAAATCAGATATGTTATCACTTGCTTCTCTGAGTCAAGTAAAGTGGTTCTGGGTAAAAACAAAAAACTTTCTGAAAAAGAGATTTTTTATAAGTTTTTGTATGCAGACGTCCGCCTTCTATTGAACTAATCAAATATGTGATATGCTTATCTGCTCAGCTTAAATGCTTCTCAATTTTGCACAAATATGTGGAATTATTGCCATGGAATTTCTGGGTTTTTGCCTAGAACTACATTGGTTGAATCGGTTTTCAAAAAAGATTGTTTTTTCTGGTTTATCGATTACCCGATGTCTCATCCCAACTCTGAGTGTAATTTGTTCTAGGATTGCATTCATCCATCTAGCAAGTGAAATACATCTCTGATACAATATAAACCAGGTGGTCGCCATTAAATAAAAAACTTCAAATTATAAATTGTTAGACAATTCAAGTAAAAAATAAAATCATAAAAAATTTGTTAACAAGCTTGATAATTGTCTCAAAGGTTAACGAGTATAATTCCTCACACTCATTAACCTTCAATTTGTCATCTGGTAACCTTGACAACTCTTGTTTGTTAGTATTATAATCAACCATTTTGCTAACGAGCTTCATAATTGTCTATTCCACAGATGTTTATATTTTCTGTATCATACTAATTTTCTTATATTTGTTAACAATTGTTTAATTAACTGGCAACCATGACAACTCGGCATCATTGATGTCATAATCGACCATAGCTTTTTCCAAGAAATGCCACTTTCCTAGAAATCCAATATCGACAACATCCTTATACAAGTATAACCAACGTTCTTTTAGATAGTAACACCTCGCTTCATAAACACATGTGACATCATTATGTTCCTTTTGACGAACCAATGAAAAAAATCCCAAATTATGAACCAATAGCCTATTCTCCGAATTGAGTTTAACGAGTCGTTGCACAGTTTCATTGCATTTAGCATTCCTAACTTTATTGCTCAGCAATAGTAATGTATTTGCATTTTCCATTAGCTGTGTTGTATAGGAGTCTGTTTCTGGGTTTGTATACCATATTCCAACAAGGGCTCCGATCACAGAAAAATTCCTAACAGCCTTTGCTGGTTTCTTATATACAAACTTACAAAAGTCGAACAAAACGTTTTTGTAGTCGACATATATAAGGTAGAATGGCTTCCCAAGCTTTGAGTCCCGTATAGTTTGCATTTGAGGCAAAAGTGCCCGATTTATTTGGCCAAAAGACTTTAAAACGTTTCTCGCTCCTGAGGCAACCATGTTGGATCTTCTGACATTTCCACTCCCCCCTGGCGTTATATAGATAGTGTGCGCATGCCGGGGGATGTAAAAACAAAAATATTTCTAGTTATTGGATTTTAACAAGTTCTCAACCCCCCGTGGTATAATATGCAAATTTGTGATTACCGGGGGGTGAGAAAATATAAAATATTAAACTTACGAAGGAAGAGTTGAATTTGTATTAATAAAAGATTCAAAATGGTAAATATATTAGCTATCCTGTATAAATAAAGTTAGTTTAGGTTTCCTCCTGTAGTAACACTGGATCAATAAGAGATGATCCTTACTGAACCTCTAGGGAGAACAGTTTAGAACTGATAGAGCTATCCAGTATAAATAAAGTTAGTTTAGTTTAGGTTCCTCCTGTAGTAACACTGGATCAATAAGAGATGATCCTTACTGAACCTCTAGGGAGAACAGTTTAGAACTGATAGAGCTATCCAGTATAAATAAAGTTTAGTTTAGGTTTTCTCTTGCAGTATTTATTTTTTTATTTATTTTTAAAGTTTTCGCCCATACATACAATATATATATGTATATATATATATATATATATATATATATATATATATATATATATATATATATATATATATATATATATATATATATATATAT